GACAGAATTAATTAATCTTCTACTGACCATAGCCAATAAAAGATTAATAATTACAATATGCACTGTGACAATATAATTCAAGTTTACGTATAACTATAACGATGCAGCACATTTGACAGTTATAGGTTTACATACAAGGCGGCGAGTTTCTTCAGGTTTGGGACTGAAATCTTCTCTTCCATTAACCAAGTCCATGTATAAGGGAGGAAGTTGCTCAACCAAAGGAAAAACTTGCTTCATAATGGGAGGGCTAAAGTTCTCTAGTTGCTTCATTGTCATCTCTGCCTGCCAGAATTTTATGTGAAGAAGGGTTTTATATTGCTTAGAAACTGAAGTCCAAGGATAAAGTTACAAATAAGCCAAAATCTAGATGAAATTAACAGATTAATGTTCATCTAGAACATCAGTGGAGGCACAGTCAGATACCCATCTGAGTGTATATTTACAATGCAACGGAAAATGTAAGACACAAGTTTGAAGCATGTGGTAAAAGAATACATAAAATACAATTTCATCAGAAACCATTGTGATTGGTCATAATGGAATAGACATATCAATATTACAGAAGTAAACAAATCAATCAAGTCTCAGTGTTATCCTTATATCAAGCAAAACCATGCCAAATTCACACACATTTGACATGGATCTAGATAGCTGACAAATATGCAAAGAATAGATGAGTAGGTAGTAAGGGTAAGATATCTACTTGATTCAGGATCAAAATTCAATCAAAGTACTTAGAAAAAGAGACAGTGAACCTGCCACAAGCTGTTGAATCTCTTGAGAGAGAGTCCTTGGGCAGTTACAGAAGAGAATCGTGATGTGTTAGAAGGATATCATTCCAAAAATTAACAATCCAAATTTTGACCAGATCTCAAAGTCAAAGCATCATAAAAAACATCCATATTTTGACAAACACAAAATTGACTGCTAAGGGGATGATGATGCATGAAATGACTAACTGGTAAAATGAAACTGCATAATTTAGAAATCCAAAAGTTGGAAGAGGATCAGTATTAAGCAAAGAGAGACTACCAATGCTATTAAATGCAACTTTCACTCATGGACATGCATGAACATGCTAAGAACAGGACTGACTTGCTGTAGAAAGACACAAGATTTCAATACAAACATAACCAAATGTTTCATGAATTTCCTGATGTTTAAATGCATTCTTCAATAGTTCGGAAATGCAAATGGAGAAAGCATGGTGTAGAAAAGGCATTAGGCCAAGGCTTGTGATAATCTCACCCCACGACGGACTGTTGGTGATAAAGCGATTTGCGATAGAAATGGTCCAAGGCTTTGGGCCATAGGGACAAGAACAGGTGAGAACAGAGGGATAGCTGCACTTGCTTCCTGTGAAATCAAGAAAGAAAATCTTGTTAATCTCAAACCATATAGAAAAAGGTTTTTGACAGTAAGCAGTTTACAATGATGGGAACGTTTGTTCAACATATATGCTAGCAAAAATAAAAATGTTGACTCCCACCACTTTTTTCCAAAGAGAACTCATACAGAGATGTCAAGGAATTAAAGACTATGGAGGCAGAAAACTGAAATGCTGAAATAGGCATACTCCAGTCTGTTAGGTTCTTTCAAAATGGCCTCATTTGAGCAGGGAGGTGATATTTCTGAGGTGGAAACTTTAAAAGAGTTATATTCACAATAAATCAAACTCACTCTATTTCTCTTCTCACCTCATCTAGATCACATACAATAGGTCAAGTACCTTGTTATTGAATGCCATGAATATGTTCCCACTTCTTTGCACAGCATATCGTGATCCTGATAAACAGAAAGTCAAATCAACGAAATAAGATGCTGTAAATCAAATCAGTTTCTTGCACCCTCATAAATTTAAACTATATGAAGAACTTCCTTACCAATCAAAAGGTGGATGACACTTCCCAAAGAGTGACCTATGCCAAAAGTAGGAATATCTTGTACCTGTAAAATGAAGAGTTTTTTGGCCTGAACATATCCTTTTATCTCCTCCATGAAATCAACAAAACACAGGAAATATCATTCTAAAGATTGTAAATCAATATAAAACTCACAGTTTCTTGTAGAGACCGAAAACACCTATCAAATTTGAACTGCACTTCATCAGCAATGAAGAAATAGTCGAATCCACTAGCATATGGTGTGGCAATCACCAAAATACCCCTGCGTCACCAAAGTTTAAAAAACCCATTATTTTTCCTTAGTCCTCAGTCTGAAAAGGTCTTTACTATCGGTATCAGAATGCAGCCACTCACTTTTCTGCCAGGCGTTCAAGAAATAAACGGTATGTAAGCTGGGGGGCTGCTCCAACAAATATGCCTCCAATGAAATGAACAATTGACTTGGGCCTTGAGCCTTTTGGTTTAAGAACCCATGCTCCCTGAGATGATATTAGAATTATCTAATTAAATAGAAAAAATTGGAATGAACTATTAAAATAATTTAATAAATTTGAGAATTTGACTAACTATGGATTATGCATTCTCCAGTCTTTACATGCACCAGGCAGTAACAACGTAAATAGTTGGAGGATATCCCCCGGGTACTTGCAGGGTGCTAGAAGGGAGAGTGCAACTCAGGATGTGTGGTTTGAGAGACATCGTCCTGATTTAAGAAACCACAGGACGAATTCCTTAAGATTAATAGGTGTTCCAAGTAAGGCTTCTGATCACAAGGTCTTCACAGTGGTTCCTATACGGAAAAAAATTTCACTCGAATCCCCTCCAAAATCTTATTTATGTGGCATTTTTATGATTTGTGTCACAACTAGCAATTTTCGGTACTCTGAGAGAACATTGCAGGCTCCTATGGTTAGACCCAATCAGTCCCACATAGGGGAAAGTCCAAATCTTTCCATTCATAAGTTAGGAACCCTTCTTTTCCACCATGATTCACTGGTTTTAAAAGTGGGAGTTCGTAGTAGGATTTATAGGAGATAGATAAAAAAGGTAAGAGCTTTGACATCAGAATGACTATCATCTACTTTTAGGAGATCGACTGCGTCATCCAAGAAATAAAAAGGGGTTCTAGGTTAGCCAATGAAATGGAAATTATCTTGTTTCAACCCAAACCCACTTAGATGACAGAAATTATCTTGTTCACAACTCAATTCAATCCAATCAACCAGTCTTTCTCAACAGATGGTTTATCTTTGAACTTATTTGCATCGAAATCGATACACTGAGAGCAAGGAAAGCAAGAAACAAGCATGGCATAAACTTAATAACAAGTGAGAAACAACACCTCAACTTCAGTCCAGTCTTTAGAACCACCCCAAGAGTCTTGTGATTGTCTTGCAGTCTCCGTAAGTAATCTACAAAAAACATTTGAAGAGAAAAAAGGGTGACTTTTCTCTTTCGTGGGCTATCAAGAAAATTATCCATAAATGTGTTGGGGTTTAAACCTTTCAATCTGATTGTAAAGTTGAATTGCCGAAGAAGAGGAGGAGGAGGGAGATGGTGACGCTTGTGGTGGTTTCTTGATGGGGTCTTCATATGTGCAGAAAATTCTGCTGCTTCTGTTATTACATTTACGGGGACCATTTGCAGCCAGCAAATGAACACGTTGAGTGTGATAAAGATGAGAGAAGCCGATAAAGCGATGGTGGGATTGAATCAGATGTCGGTGACCACCCCAAATGCAGCAACTCTCCATTTGAATTTAGTCCAGAAATCAAAGACAGGCTAAGCTCTCTTGCTTATTGGTTACACGCTACCATTGTTTGTTTCTGCTGGACTAAACTTAACTTAAACTTTACTGTGAGGATTATACCGCTAAACTACTTCCCTCCTTGTTTTTAACTACTACTGTATCAAACCAAATGAAAGGATTGGAATCGTCTGTTTTTGAGCAATCTGGCCACACGTGGTTTCTTTTTTATTTTTTATTTTCCCTTTCTTATGATAATAACCGGATGAAAATATAGAGCACGTTGTTTATGGGTTTAAGAAATATTTTTTTAAAATTATTTTTTATTTTTTTATTTAAAATGAATTTTTTATGTATTAATGTAAAAAAAAATTTAAAAAAATAAAAAACATATTATTTTTAATATATTAAAAAATATTTTAAAAAGCAAACCACTACTATAATATTTATAAAATTCTTAGAAAAGACAAACAAAAAATTTAGAGAATTTATTAATTATCCTATTAAAAGAACATATTTTTTTAAAAAAATTATTTCAAAATAATATTGTAATTAAAAAAAATTATATTTGATAAAAAAGAAGAAGTTATATCCATTGAAAGGATTGCTTTCTTTTTATTTTCATGATTAATTAAAAAATATTAATATAATCAATATTTATATTATTCTAGTCCCATAAATAATTTCTATTTATCGGATAAGACAGTATTTTGGAGAAATTTTTCCTTAAAAAAACACCCCAAGATCTTAAGGTCAGTCGCTACGTCATAAAAAATGAAGAAATTATGAGAAATATTTGTTTGGCACAATTGAAATAATTGGTGTACCAAAGCAGGGGGAATCAAAGTCATCATCATACTCAATTAAGAAAACTGACCGTTGCAACTATCTGGTAGCCAAGTGATAAGGACTTGAGATCAAGGGGTTTGTTTTTTTTTATGGTTTCAAGTTCGAGTTCTTGGTTGTTCATGGTTATTAGAGGTTTACATGGTCGTTAACTTCAGGATTCATAAGATTAATTATGATGCGTATAAACTGACCCGGATACCCACATTAATCTAAAATATAAAACTGAGTGTTGGTGTCCCAAGTCCAACTGTGGGCCCCGTGGAGAGAAGTTTTTGTTGATGAAACGAAGTATGAGATGCCACAAGCCCAGTCCCTTATTTTCTACTGCCATCTATCAATACGAGCTAGCTAGCTAGCCATAAACGCTACAGAAGTGCCCCGCTGTCTGATTTCTATGCTCTGCGCTCTCGCCGGTATTAGAAGGCCGAAAAATTCCAAAGATTCAAAGGCTGTTTCTACTCTACCCTACTCTGGTGACTGAGTAGTCACTGTAGTGTAGTGTAGTCAGTCATCCGGTTTGTCGTCCTCTCCTTTCCTTGGCTCCACTGTTAATTTAATGCTATACATACATACATACGTACATGTATGTATGTAATAATTTGCCTTTATTCTGTATGAACTGTCCATATAAATCCGTACTTATCTCTCAAGACTTGCAATTGTCTCCAAAAAAAAAAATAGAGAAAGGGGGATGAAGATGAGAAGGCCACCTAAACTGCAGCAGAAGCGATTACTGGGAATGCTTGTGTTAGCAGTGTTACTGTCCTGTTCTTGCATTGCTCTTTTTGGGTTTTACAAACACCACGCTTCCCTTGCATTAACATCCCTTGTTGCCCCACAAAGCATCACCTTCTATCCAAGCCAAAACCACCACCACCACCACCACAACCACAACCACAACCGCAACCGCAACCGTCAAAACCCATCTCTAAATGCCCCACAACAGGCGGCTACCCTTTTTCCGCCACCGCCACCGCCACCGCAAACAAATACCGTGGACTCCGTATTGGAAACAGGGCCATATCATAATTGGGAACTGTTTTCTGCTGATTTTCAAGAAATGATGCGGCATCTAAAGATCTTTGTGTACCCTGATACCTTCAACAGGAGCAGCCCTTTTGCTAAGATCTTCCTACCCCATAAGAACCCACCGAACAATCCAAAACTGGGTAATTACTTCAGTGAACACATGTTCAAGGTGTCCCTGCTTCACAGTCCACTGCTTACTGCAACCCCAGAGAAAGCCCATTTCTTTTTCCTCCCATTTTCAATAAACGACCTTAGAAATGACCCTCGAGTTTACTCCGAGGCAAAAATCTCACAATTTGTTGCCCAATACACGAGTAGCATTAGCAGCAGCTTCAGGTTTTGGAATGCTTCAGGAGGTGCTGATCATTTCTATGTTTGTTGCCATTCTGTTGGGAGAGAGGCTCCCTCCAGGCATCATGGTTTGCGTAACAATGCCATTCAGCTTACTTGTTGTTCTAGTTACTTTCAAAGATTCTATCTTTCCCACAAAGATGTGGGGCTCCCTCAAGTTTGGCCTCGCTCGGATCAGACTGCCTTGAATCCCCCACATACCAGGTATATACCTCATAGTATTCAATCCACTGTTATGTTTGTGGATAAATGCCCACATTTCTAATTTTACTTTTAGCAATAGTTCTTTTGCAATTCTATTTCAATGTTATGAGAAAGTTTTATGATGTTACATAAGGGGGGAAATTAAAGTATGGGCATACCGCATACCTTTACCACTGATGCTCACAAGATTGGCTAATTTACTCGACAACAGCAAGGAGTGGGAAATACGCCTGTATCAAATTTGAAGAGAACAAGAAACAAATATGTGCGAAAAGCTCAAGAACCTTAACATAAACATGTCCGTAACCTAAATAATTACACGATCAAGAAGTATAGAGATTTTTTAAGAATATCGTTTTCTGTCTTATTGCAAACTTTGATGTATTATATTTTTCTGAAGTGTTTGCTATCTTGATGTGAACATCTACCGTTGCAGGCATAGACTTGTCTACTTTGCTGGACGCGTCCAAAATTCTCAAGTCCGGCAGCAGCTGATAAATTTGTGGGGAAATGATACTCAATTTGACATATTTAATGGGAGTCCCACATTCCCTTATGAAGAAGGGTTCAAGAGGAGTAAATTCTGCCTCCACGTTAAAGGTTATGAGGTGAACACCGCAAGGGTTAGTGATGCCATACACTACGGGTGCATTCCAGTTATAATTTCTAATTATTACGACCTTCCATTTGCTAATGTCTTGGATTGGAGCAAGTTTTCCGTTGTCATCAATCAACGAGATATTGCTTTCTTGAAAACAAAATTGTTGTCTATAAAAAGAGAGATGTACCTGAGAATGTATCATAATCTCTGCGAAGTTAGGAGGCACTTTGTTTGGCATACAACGCCAAGGGGCTATCATTCCTTTTACATGACTGCTTATCAGCTATGGTTAAGGAGAAGCACTCTACGTTTATCATATTAATTTCTGCATCTTCTTACAATATCCTACTCTGAAGCCTTTTCTTGTCTTAAAAATTTGGCCTTGTGAGGTAGTGAAGGTTTGTTTTCAGCTTCTGAGATTTCAACATTTGTCGACTCATGTAATTTGTCCCTGACCCTCGATAGAAATACCTCCAAAGGTGAAGAACTTCAGTGCAAGATGCCTTGCAATGTTCTCCTCGGAAAGAAGTAACAGGAGCAAAGGCATAGGGCATAGTGGCCTCCACTATATTGAGGTTGAAATGACAACAAGTGGCTAATGCAGGCAATAAGCTTCAGGTCCTATGGACCACGCTGGAATGGTTGTTCAGTGTTCATTGCTTTTCCCGTCAAGACATCTACCCGTCTATTGTAACCATTGAAAGCTTAATAGTGATTTTAGATGCATATTTATTCACTCCGGTGACTAGAGCATTCGAAAAATTCCAGCAAAGACAAAATAAACTAAACCAATTCTGCAAGGGCATGCATCGAAAGGGGACACCCAGGCCAAATCAGCTCCTGTCACCCAACCAAAAATGATTTGAATCTTCTCCTATACTTTATGCATCACTTGTTCTGTTAATGCCACCATGCAAGCAGAGAACTGTAACGACGATCAAACTTCCCAACCTAGAATTGAAAGCAACACTGCCTCGTTTGCAACCAAAAAAGAAAAACAAATAAAAAACACACATCCCTCTACCTCTAACCAGAAAACAGTGGCATTTTAAAAGATAACAATGTCGTGAATATTGCCGTATTGCCAGTGTCCATCAATATTTTCAACTTAAAAGCATGTAGCAACCCATTGAAAAGTGCAGCAGCCATCAAATGGAATATTCTCAGCTGGCAAGTTGACCAGCAGTGAAAATCGCAAATCTCTACACTCCAAGGTCTTAGCCAGTCTGCCTTCAAAATCATTAAATGCAGTCACCTGGAACAGTAGAGTAGGAATCCCAAATATAATGATCATAGACAAATACAAGGATTTACAGTAATGTAGCATTTATAAATTGGCAGATCATGCACAATGACACAGTATAGTAGTTGTATTTAGCTTGGATACAGAGTCTTTGGCTTGGATATTGGAAAACAAATCACATTGTGCGTTCAGCTGAGGATGGCTGATATGTGCGACGCCTCAACTCGGACTGTGGAGTGGGCTGTTGCAAGAAGATTCTTGTTGGGTCATTAGGATCAACATATCTGCAAAACACATAAGAAAATATAATAAAAAAGTGATCTTCACCCCGCAAACAAAAAATTACATGATGTATTATGTCACTTACGCATGTCTAATCATTTCATCAACTGGAGTGTTCGCTGCTTGCAGGGGATCTACACGAGGTACTGGTGCAGAGTTCATTTGTTGATTGTATTGTCTCACTGAAGAGATCAAATTGAGAAAAAGTGGAACAAAGGTTCCACAGCCCCCTTCCTTGAACAAAATCTTGAATGAGTGTGCGGAGTAGAGTGCCCTATTCTCATTCTCAGGAACCACCTGAAGTTTCATACCGAGACGATCAGCTTACATAGAAATAAGTGGTGATCAGATAATTGAAAGCCTTTTCACTATTATACTTACAGGTTCCACAAAACCAGAAATATTGTTGCAGAGAAATATGGGCTGGTTGAATTTTTCTCCGTTGACAAAAAGCTGCATAACAAAGCAACTTAAGAATAAGGCTCACAAGAAAGCCCAAAGATACATCGACAACTGACCTCAAAATAATAACTAAGAATCTACATGCTTAGAAGTAACCATGACCTTAAAAATTTTGAAATAAAAATGATGAAGTGTTAGAATCAGCCCAGATTTAAATTTATTTTTTTTTGTTATGATATTTGCTTTCACTTCCAAGAAGGGAAATATACTCAGCATGAAGAAATTACCAATTGTACAGGTTTAGAGGGTGAGGGGTAAGAAACATAGAAAAGCTAAGGATACCAAATTGCTTAGCTGCTAATAGCAAACAACTTCGTCTTTCTCTGCCAAGAGCTTAGCTCCACTTACAAAATCCGTACAAGTAACCTTCAAAACGTCACGTTTTAGGTAATAATAACACAGCCTAATTTTGTTTGTTGCAAAATGCAAGATTTGACCAAGCCAATTAAAATCCAATCACCGCTGACGACCAAACTAAACAGCTAATCTCTTATCAACACGAAAAAACTGTCCTGGTGATACCCACCAGCCAGAGCATGAAGGCCAACGCATTAATCCCATCTATGAATTAAGATTAAAAGGGACAGGGAAAAAGAAAGGAATGAGAGGATTCTAACAACCAAAGTTTGAAGGAAGAGCAACCACGAAGATCCTTTGCTATTTTACCATAAGAACTTGAAAAACAATGCAGGAATACCAATATTCATCACTTACCAGAGGAATATCAAAAGCATAAAAATTTGCAACGGGCTTGGCTGCAACAAAGACCGTGCGAATATTTGACAAGTAGATGGTTCCCTTAGACTTAAGTTTCCCACATCTGCATTTGAGCAGAAAGAGTTCAGTTCGAGATTAAACATTAAAACAAACATACCATCGTTTGGGCTGAGTGCTGATAGACAACAGAAAGGATATGGCTCATAAGAACCGAGTCATAAAAGAGATCAGACTTTTTTGCAATTGCAAAACAAATTTGGCTTCAAACACTTTGCCGAGAGAGATTGTTACAATTTTTATAAGAAATTAGATGTGGGCTAAACTATTAGAAACACAATTGGTGATTGGCTGATCCATAAAATATCAATAACTTTGCCCTTAGTTGCAAGAGTTGGAGATTATATTGCTTATTATTAAAAAAAAAAAAATTAAAGGGGAAGAAAGAAGGAAAGAAAAGAAAGCAAACCCAGGGATTTTGTCGACCTCGAAATCGACGCCGTCTCTGGCCAACACAAACAACTCGTTCTCGAAAGGAACGGGCATCCCGTTTTGAAACAATTGTGGGTTAAGAGCCATCTCTCTCTCTCTCTCTCTCCTCCTTTCTCTGGATTTTCTTTTTCTTCTCGAGTTTTATTTTTATTTTTGGGGTCAATTCAATTCTCCAGAATCCAAAAAGCTTGTTGCCATTGCTTTGCCCCGAATCAGAATCCTGCAAGAAGACGCGTGAACCTCCCTCCCACCTTCTGGATCCACCACGAAACAAACAGATTAATGCCACGTCGTTTTGAATGCAAATATTAAAGTTCTTCGTCGTCGTTGTCGTCGTATACCCTTATGGGCCCAGACATCACTGGGTTAATAACTTTGATTTTTAAAATATTTTTATTTAGAATTACATTGTAATAATTTTTTATTTTAAAAAATAATTTTTGATATTAATCTAAAAACATAAACAAATAATTAATTTTATAGAAAAACAAAAATATAATTCAAATTTGATTAAAACTACAGAGGTTAACCCCCCTCGCAGCATAATTAATCTCTTCACAATGCAAGCTGCTGCTGCTGCTGTTATAATTAATCTCTTCACGAGAAATATGCAGCTAGGAAATTTGACATAGCTTGCTTCGGAGTGAATTAGATACGGAATGAACAAGAGCTGGATATTATATTACACGTGGGTTTTTTTACTGTAGAGACGGGAACTATTAACGCGCGCACAAATCACTATCGATAGCATTGTGCCGCACTGTGCATGTGTCAAAAATTCATTTTGATACTTAATTTTTTTTCCTGGTTATTTAATTCTAGTTGAAGGACGTAATTTCTTAGGAAAATGTAGGGTTGAAAGAAGAGGGATTGGAATGAAAAAGATACCAAACATTAGTAGCATTTTATAAGTTTTAACAACAAATATACTTTGATCCCTAAACTTCAAAAATAGCACCGAATATACAATCTTGGCATCTCAATGTTTTTCAAGTTCAACTTTGATATAAAAATTTATTTTTGTAATTTTTTAATCCCTAATTAGAGAGAGAAAATAGAGAAGCAGTCAACTTTTAGAGATAAAAAAAGAAAAAAATTATATAGCATCAATTTAGACATCCAAAACAGTCGATATTTGTGTTAAATAATTTTATTTGACAAAAAAAATTCATATTAGATATTTTTTCCTTTAAATTCCTTGAAAATATAGATTTGAACTCGATATGATTTTTTTAAAGTTGATATTGGTTTTTCTAATCTTTTAAGATCATTGATAGATTTATTATAATTTTTAAAGTGTTTATTTTTGTTGAAAATAAATTGAAAAACAAATTTTTTGGTTTAGAAAAAAAGTTAAAGCATGACTTTCTTGCCATTATGATTGCTAAAATTTAGGTAGCACCAGACAACATATCGTTGAAATATTTTTTTCAAGCCATTTTATAGTGAGTCACGTTGTTTGCCTATAATGAAAAAAAAAAAGATTTAGTTATCCAACTTATTAGATAGGCCCACACACGGATTATGAAGAAATAAGTCTAGCAACGCGTAACCCTTTTTATTTTGTCCTTTTAGTTTTATAATTTAAAATTTTGATTTATAATATTTTAGTCTTTAATTTTTTTTTTTAAAAAAGAAACTCAATGAAAGACAAGAGGGAAGAGAAAAGGTTATTGGTTTTTCATATTCTTACAATGAAAAATATTCATTTTTATATCAACGAGTTTCATTTAAATATATTTTTTCAATTTATTTTATTTAAAAAGATAGATTAAGATTTACAAAAAAATTCTATCAAATTGGTTTTATATTTTATTTTTACTACTCTAGAGTTTTTTATATTGAAAAACTAGTTTATTGATAATCTAAAAGTGTTTTTAATATTTTCCTTTTAAAAAGAATCAAAAAAAGTTTTTAGCGTTTTAAAATTCAAACCCTAATTTTTCAACCAATAAAAGTTATTAAAGACTATTGTAAATTATGGCATGTCGGTTACTATATTAAACGACTTGCCATCTAATAAAAAATTGTTTTGAGAGGCATGCGTCAGTAATTGACTGTATATATGGGTCTAACTTACTAGGGGCTCATAGTCTCTTGTTTTGTTTTGTTTTTATTTTTGTTTTTTTAGATTTTACACCACACTTTTCCTTTTTATTTATTTTTACTTTGCATTAATATTTTACCATACACTCCTTCTTATTTTTTAAATTATTGAATTCACCTTTTTAAATACTAGTTATTTTCTTTGATTATTTCACACTTCTCTGTTTTTTTTTAAAAAAATTAATATAATTTATATTTAAATTCTTTCTCTTATATTTGATATAAATGAATTGTATTTGTATGATATATTTATAAAAATAAAAAATTACTTATTATCAATAGAAAACAATAGTTTCCAGGGTGAAAAAAAAATAAATTAAAAAGGAAAAGCTGAGGCAAAATACTTGCACGCCTCTATGTCTTTCTAGTTTTATGGAAACAATTAGTTTTTTATTTTAATATTTAATCAGTATCAAAACTTTTTTCTCAATTTATTGATTAATATAACTTTAAAATTATTTTTTAAAATATAAATAACATTTTTATGTTTTTTAATTAAAAAATTACGATACAATAAAACGCATTCATAACATTGATATATTATTATACCATATTAAAAACTAATTAAAATCATACTTGCAGTATAGCAGTTACAACTCTCTTTAATATCTATTAATGTACATAATTATTAATTTATTTTATTATATATATATATATATTATTTTTTTAATATTAAAAAATATTGATAATATCTATATATTTGTATATCCATATTAAATTTTGTTTTTGTCTAATTAGAAACTATGTGTAAACTGGTTAGTATTATGAACTATTTTGCAATTTAAATTTTAAGAAATTTTAAAGTGACAAGGAAGTAATTACTCACTTCTGAAAATTTTATAATAATTAAAAAGTAAATATAGATTGTTTTATTTTATTAATACACCCTGTAAAAAAATCATAAAAGAAAAAATCAAATTTGAGATCCATAAAAAATATATATGTATATAAGAATGATTTTACATGGATTAAAAAATATTTTTTCTCTCTCCTTTTTTACGTGTATCTCTCAGGTTTTTTGTATGCGATCCTAACTAAAGACGACATGTCTCGTCGATAATTTCCTAGCCACTGGTGTAACCAACCAAGAAGACACCAAGTTTGCGACTTTGATACTTGACGAATATGCATGGATTTACCGTCCGTCCAACACCACACAACAGGCTCTTCTGTCTCCCTTGCCTGTCTTCAAGATCTCTTCTTTACCTACAAATTAAAGCTAAACTATCAACACCCAGTTGCAGATACAGCTATGGAGGTGGTTTTAGCCTTATTTTATTTGGACCCAATGTATTCGCTCCAATCTTCAAGAATAGGAGAAGCTACAGTCATACCCTTTTGAGAGCAAGCCGTAAAGAGTCTCCTTATGAAGTTTTAGGCGTTTCTCCTTCCGCCCCTCCTGATGAAATCAAAAGAGCGTATAGGAAACTTGCTTTAAAGTATCACCCTGATGTTAATAAAGAGGTAGTCAGCTATTAAGCTCTAGTTCTGTTTAATTATCTGTGCAGTTACTTTGGATTGACCCAAAAATTTTTATGCATTAGCTTAAATCTCGTTGAATTTAACTAGGTAAATCTAGTCTATTTAAGTCTGTTTTACTTTGGATCCTGTATGTTTAATTGAATTGAATCTTGAAGATATTGATTTGATTTATATCAGACATAGTTTTTCTTCGAGTTCTCACTTCATTCCGAAAGGAAAATATTGGATATAGAAATTTTATTTTGTTGTGAAGACGGCTATTATTAGGAAGATTATGGGGGTATATAACAAATTTTGTGAAATAATAATCACATCACTTCTTATTTATCAGATAGAGATACAGACAACTAAATCTTCATTATCATTTGTGTAAAATAAAAGAAAAAATCAAGAGCTTGGCTATGATTTGAATTCTTATTGTGTATCTGCTTCCATGGGTTGTTTAATGGAACGCTTTGAAATGTGTACAAGAAAGTTGACTTGATTTCTTTTTATGGAGTTATCACTCAACACTCTACAAGGCAGACGGGTAGCCATTCCCGTAACATATTGAGACTAAGCCCTAGGTGATGCAACATCTGTCTTTGGGAACTAGGAAGCAACTTTATTTAGTTGTCCCATGTATTCATAGATCAAGGAAACAACTGTTTTCCTTTTATGGTTTGAAAAGTGGACGCAGTTATTGTGTTACACAGTCCTAAAATCTCTTTGGCTTCTCTTTTCTTACAAACACTTGGTGCACCAGTTGTGTTCTATTGTTCTCGAGCTACCCAGCTTGCCGTTCAGAAGCAGGAAAAGCTGCTGAATACTTGTCAGTAATCTCTCATGTAGATGAATCTTTAAGCTGGCATTGCTTGTGATTACACATAATTTTACTCTAAGTGAGATGCATGAGGAGATAAATTTTGTCAACCTTTACAAATTGATCTTCTCTGAAGTGTGGTTGACATATACTCTCTCTTGCATGTCTTATGTGTCAGTCAGACTACATTTACTTTGGCAGTAAATGATCTAGTCCAATAAATTATTCCCCAATTCTATCTCACATCTAGTCCAGCCTTGCATTGGTTACCTGGGTTTGTTTCCCATTATGATACTCGCTCAAAACCTTTCCAATTGGTTGCATGCTTGATGTATCTTCCTAACTTCCATAGCTGCATCATAGGAAGGGAAATTCTCGGTTCATGATAGTTAACACCAATATTCTTATGGTTATACTCCTACTACATGCATTGGATATTTTTCAAACAGACGTTGCTAAAGTGCTATCACGCATGTTTTTTACTTGTTTGCTTCTGTGGAAGAAGACTCGGGCTGCCAAGTTCAATTGTGCTGTTTGAATCTCAAGAATGGCCACTTAATAGACCATGCATACGGTCCTTGTAAGCATCTTGATTTGGTTGGATCAAATTGTGTAGTGGCCTTTCTGTTTTATATAACTTCATCTAGAGTTTGCCTTGCCTATGTTGCTCAGTGCGTTTCTGCACTTTTGCTATTACTAATTGGTAGATCATCCTGTTTTAAATCTGTTATTTTTAATGTTTTCCTTTCCAAACTATGGTGCTTTGTTTATATAATCAGTTATCTATATCTCATTTTTCTTGTGTACAGACAAATGCTCAGGAGAAATTTATGAGGATTAAGCACGCATACAACACATTGGTGAATTCTGAATCTCGGAGAAAGTATGATGCTGGAAACTCATCTGGTTTTTCATACTCTAGTGGTCAGAAAACACAAAGCAGCAATACCCAAGATGAAGAAGATTTTTATGGACTTGGTAAAAACTTGTAAACCTACAAATATCTATTTGATTATTTTACTCATAAGAAATTTGCTTGTTGTGGCCATTTACTCTTTTCTACTTGTCATTTAGGGGTCATTATGTCTACTGCTACTATGTTCTGCTTCAATACGTGTATAGCTGTACCTGCTGCATGGGTAATGCCAGCAGAGGGACATGCCGCCTAGCGGGGCTTTAGTTCTTACAGAACTATGTAATGGGTTGGTCAGCAAACCTGATTTCTCCCAACAATCTAACTGGAAAAGGGTTAATTGAAAGTTGGTCGAACAATATTGTGACACTTGGACCAACCTATAATGAAGCAGAGCTTCAAGTGTGGTTAAAGATTCCTGCTGTGATTAGCTTCAAGTGTTGTTAAAGATTCCTGCTGTGATTCTGTCATCTGCCTGTTGTCTTGTAGTTTGTTAGAAACTTCAGTTCTTCTTGCTTTGCAGTAGCTCATTCTTTTGCCACCCATGCGGGTATTTTATATGGGTGATGTGTCCTTGAAATATTATCTTGTGATGCATGCAATTTTCCTGCCTGCACTTGAGATTAGTTTTCCCAGCATTTCTTGATGGGTAATTTTGGAAATTACCAGGGAAATGATTTTCTGAATTTTTATGCTGTCATTTTCAATCTTTTATTAGGAATTAGGTTTGGTTGTTCTTATACACAAACCGCTTTATGCTGCAGGTAATTTTATGAGGGGTTTTCAGATAACAATAGGTAGTTTGTACTGCCTATGACACATGACAATGCTCATAAACCTTTTTCAATTGTTTCAAATCTTTATCTCATACCCTATAAAATTCAACTGTAGTTACCTAGTCTGGTATTATTGTTACAGGGGACTTCTTTAGGGATCTGCAAGAAGAATTCCAGAATTGGGAAGCGAGTGCTCCATCTCAAGGGAAGCCAAAGAGCCTATGGGAAGAATTGGCAGTACGTTGCTTTTAATTTTGCACATGCAGTTTCAAGACACAATAAATCTATTTTAACAAGCTAACTGTCACATGCTTGCTTGGACTTTTCGCTAAAGATTTGTATAATCCACGAAGCAAAGGACTTGCTGAGGAAACAGCCTCACCTTGTATTTTCACCCCCTGCAGGAAATAGGGGAAGAATTTGTCGAATTCCTAGAGAAAGAGCTCAACATAACAGATACAGAATTTGAAGGAAATAAAAATGATGGATTTCAAGAAGATGATTTTTTTTCCAGTTCTAGCACCAAGAGAACGGGAAATGGTGCTCAAAATGAAGATGGCAAGAGTAGCAGCATCCAAGATAACATTGATGAGATTGAAGCTACTCTTGCTAAGTTGAAAAGGGAATTGGGCTTATAGCAAGGAAATGCAGCCTACCACTGTACCCTAAGTTAGAGATATTGAAGGTTGAAGGCGGCAAGTGGGGCTACCAATCTGTAATCTAGAGTCCAGACAACACTCAGATATAGTTAGTTCATCGTGAGATCTCAAAAACTCCAGGGCTGACTTCTTCTGAAGATCTCATCAGTTACATCTCGAAGCAGTTATGGATGCAAAACATCCAACTTCCGACCTGAGGACTGCAAAATGTTGACGGCAGAAGTGCCATCCTGTCTCTTGCAGTATCTTTATGAATCTGATGTCTTAAATTAGACTGGTGACTTGTAAAAACCCTAGAAAGGATAATCTATAAATGGATTCGATTTACATAAACTTTCTAGTATTTGGCTCGGAAATGTGAAGGTTAGTTTAGATGGAATGATGTAGCTATATGTAGAAATTATTTGGATGTAAAAAACCCTAGAAAGGACGATCCATATTGGAACATTGCAGGAAGTTCAAAAATCCAAAACAAAATTCATGTATTATAATTTATTTTTTCTGACATACAAAACCATCCACTAACACCAAGATTGGATTTTTTTTGAACTGCAAATTATTTTATGTTCAATTTTAATACTAATTCTTTTATTTTTTTTATTTATTCTTCAATATAAATAGGAAGGATAAAATTGCAAAGAATCAAAACTCAGTAACTAAAAAAACATCATAGAAAAGTGAAAGGCCTTAACATCGAATTAAGTGAAAAAAATAATAATCTCAACATAAAAAACTATTCTAATATAACTTGGAACATAGAATTGTAAAGAAATAAAAATGAATAACTAAAATGACAAAAAAAGCATTACAGAAGCGAACAATACAACAAATATTCGAGTTTATGGAAATGGTGATTGTTACTGTTCAAAAGCCACGTTTTTTAGTTTATCTAGGTAATAATTAATAATTATAATTAGTAAAGTAATTAGCAATAGTAATAAAGACGGAGGGAACAAACATTTTTTCTCGACAGGGAAGGGTTAAAAACCCAACAAGAGAACTGGGTCAATCACGAGCAGTATAAAGAAAACTAACGTTAAGGATTTCGAAGCTCAAGAAGAGACAACAAATCAAACAACAGAGATACAAGTCACTTTATGACAAAATTACTTTGGGATTTTGCACAACAAAGAGTACATGCTCAGCAAAGTTATACGTCTTTTGAGCACACAGGCCAGATACCAAGGACATCACAGTTTTCTCAGGATCTCTCAGCTCCTGCAGAGCCAGATATAAGGGATACGAATCCCAAAAACTGACTCCACAAGAACCAGTTCGAATTGAATCATCTATCTACTCCTAAATATCTCACAAGATTTCAGAGTGTCAAAAACTCTGGCACTTATTCCAAAAATCCGATGGCCGAAATGTACTAAGCAAACCTAAATTGCCAATCGAGCTTTCAGTATCTCTCCCCAAACCGGAAGAACACTGAACCAGTGCCAGTGTTATGATCAACAGCATACTCAGCTCGAACTAAACCCAGCTTGACACCAACTCCATAAGATGAACCATGACCCATTCGCCTGTAAACCTCTGTTGGGTTCCCCTTCACATCCTTAGAAGTTCCTAGATCATTGCCATGCTCTGCAAATGCATAAACATGTGTATTTCTCACGGGAATGCGTATCTCTGCTCCGAGCTGGAATCAAAATTGAAAAGACAGATCACATATCTAACTGCAAGTCCACAAATATGATTTATGGGAACAATCATATTTTCCATCCACAAAAAATTAGTTCTCGCAAAGGTTCCATTTTTTGAAGAAACACCTTTAAAGAAAAACATAAAACACAATTCGACTTGTCCTAGCTAAAATGTTGTTTACAGTGATTCTCACCTCAAGAATGTTTCTGGCTGCTCCCAGCTCACCCATGTTGTAACCCCTCACAGAATAAGGTCCCCCGAGAGTAAAAGCATCATAACTCGGAAGGTCTCCAACACAACCACCATAATGGCCATTTAGTACTAGTACAGGTGGTGGTGGTTTCCCAGCACCTTCCTCCACCTCCTTCAACTGGATAAATCGGGTCAATGTCAGCTGGTGACGGTTGAAGAAAGGAAACTTGCTGCCAATGCCAAGGCCTTGGTCCACCTGCAAATCATACATAAAATATGTAGGTTAACCTGGCTGTGAAGAGGTTACATATGAAAATCACACAAATGAGGGCTATATGTTCTTGTACAAGAGGAAAAACCTAGTGTGCACTATCATCCCCAAATTTTCATGATCCCATATGACTAAATCAAACCATAAAATATCTACCAAGTTCAAAGACCAAGCAAGCAGGCTCTATACACAAGAAATAAGGGTCTTTGGCAACTCAAAGAACAGGACTGGGTCAAGTTTGTTCTCAATCAATCCTAGAAAGCTAAATGGAATGTTCTTCAACTAATTAGATCATCGGATCATGTACATTTCTGGTTAGAAAAATGAGCAACCTAACCATGATATTTTAGAACTGGCTCCACCATTCACAATATAACTGTTGTGGATCCCCAAACAACCCCAAAATTAACAGAAGATTCTCTGACCTGGAATACATTCCTATCACCAACTACAGTTCCATTTACAAACTTGGTGTTGTCACGCGTGATGTTTGCCTGTAAAAATGCCATCCGGTCAATGCCAGTGCCACTGAGGGTTGTTGGAGGTCCATCTGCACTAATTCCTCCACTTGGCAATACTCTTTGACCATTTGAAGAGATATGGCTGCTTTCATCGCGTGTTGTTATCTCTTCCATCACTATCCCATAGGTGAATTTGCTCTGGCGGGTAAAATTCTGTTCAACACAACATATGTGCACTCATTAAGAAATCATTTTATTGAATTTAAAGATGCTCACAAGCAGCTAAATTTGGATGTAGAAGAGCAGTCACCTCAGTAATGTTAGCTTTCATGCCAGCCCGGTCAACCCATATAGGAGGGACTTCATCCACTCCTGGCCCACCAGTAAAGACTGGACTCAGTTTCCGGCTGTTGAAGCAGCTTCCACGGAGAGTGCGGTTTCGTGGATTGTATACGCCATCTAAGTATGGATGAACATACTCAAGCTTAAAAGACAGATCATCCTGAGAGAAGATCCATGTACAGTTTAAGTTATAAAATTTCATATAAATTGGTAGTGGATCATTCCTGAGATTTATTGAGAAAAAGAAAATGTGTATCATGAGAAATTACCTGAGCTGAGAAGAAATTGCTGGTAGTTATAGAACCGAGAATGGAGCGATTCAGCCCTTTGATATTCCGATGTTCAAAGGAAACAGTCCCACCAGGCTGGAATGAAGCCTGAAGAGAGGGATATGGAATTCAAATGGAAGTTTGGCATTGAAGCCTCATAACTCTACTAACTACAAACAAGTTCAAATTACATAACTGGACGGACATACATACCAATGTGGGGCGTCCTCCACGTCCAGGAACAATGCTCCACTCTGTACTGACTTCAGCTGATTTTGGCTCCAATTCTTTAAGCTTAATCTCAACAATGATTCCTCCCTCATTCTTCTCATCTGGCCTTGGATTGACTTCAATATTTGAGAACAATGCTAGGGAGTTGATGTTCCTCAAAGCTTGTTTCCCAGCTTCAATGTTAAAAACTTGACCTTGTCGAAGCTGTTAATTAAAAAACACAAAATAAATCAACCTACAAAATGAACAATTAGAAAACATTCATCATCTTAAAAAGTCCACAATATAAAAACAGGGACATGGCCAACGAAGGAGCAGAATCATGAAGGATTATCCTTTATCTATTTCACCAAACAATGTCATTAACTATTAGTATCATAACAGGTAATGCAGCAAAGTAAGGTGCATGAATTCTAGAGTTCCTATGTGCGAGGATCATAATAGATTGTTGAAGAGTTATTCATCACATGAAAATATAATTTAAGAACCTGTCTATTCACTGCTTTTTGTCCATAATATGGAGAAATGTTTTGGAATAGCAGCTGGTTTCTATCACCAGTGAAATAAAGATTTGAAGAAAAACTTCATTGCCAAGTGCACGTTTAAGTGTTTAAGCTTTTAAATAGGAGGCAGTATAGGTATCTTCATTTGAATAGTGAAGAAAACATCAACAAAGAGGGTGAGCATCTTATATCAGATTCTGCTTAAGAGTTCCAGCATAAAACTAAACGACAACAACATAATAATATGCATGCTATAACCTAGTATCCACCAGTAATCACAATCAAAGGACAACACCATGTTCATATCACACGCAAAGAGAGTGAAACACAATGTTGGATTATATCCAATCATCTGCTTTCTGGCTGGCTGTACAAATTAATTAAAGCATACATGTTGATCTAGATTAATACTCGTATGCTTTTCAGCATTCAATCATATCTAAGCAAAATCACTAAAGTAAATCAAAATCATCACCAAAACCATGCATTAGACATAAGCGCTTAATATCTCAATCCTAAGATGAGCAAAAGAAATATTTTCTGTTCACGTTTTACTAGTATCGAGAGACCTGATTTGATGTAATCATGTACTCATGCTCCTTGTTCTACTTAAATTTCGGCAGCAACTCCTGAACACAGAAAAACAAAAACTAACCAAAGACTACAGCCTAGATTGTGCCATTAACTCAATGAGTCATTCACATAGACAATCAAACAGCACCGAGCCAATCATATATCATAATAGGCATTTAGAATAAACAAATTTAGAGGGAAAAAAAAGAATAAAGCCCGTTTCAGTTAACCTGTTTGGGCAACTCTCTCTTGACAACAGGAAGTTGTGTGTTCCCTTCAACAACATTCCCTAACTTATCCTGATACTGAATAACCAATTGAGTAATATCCCCTTCCACAACCTCACAAACCACTTCCTTAGTATTCAAATTCCCAAAATTCACAACTTGAGCACAAGCATAACCTTCATCATGATACCATTTCTGCACTCTATCCCTAATCTTCTGCAGCAACCGAGCACTAACCTTCCCTTGCTCCCTCAACATCTGCAAAACCTCCCTATGCACCTGCGTAGGCAACAAACACGGCCTTGCCTTTTCAATCCTCCTCCTATAATCCTTCTCCTGACTCCTATAATACTCCAACTTCTCCTTATCAGTCATATCTGGATCCATTTCAATCGGTTTCGATTGCTGCATTAATCCAACATTAATGCACCTAAACTTGTCAGCTGATTGCCATGTGCTTTCAGTAAAGGAAATAGTGATCCCTATAGTTCCATCCGGATTTGTCTTCCCTTCCATGTCCACTTTCTCGAACATTCCGCAAGTAGCTAGACTTTCAAGTTCCTTTTGTAACTGAGCTTTTGTGTACACTCCGCCCGGACGGAGTGAAACCATCTCGAAAAAAGAGTCCTCCGTGCCTACAGTGGTCCATCTTCGCCGGTCGAAAAATAGAATTTCCGATAGTTTGTATTTTTTGAAACCGCTAAGCTTGTTTAATTGAACAACAATGTTTGCCGGTAATCCATGCGAGTCCCAATCTTGTGATTGTGACTCATCGGCATTCGCCGAAGCTACAGAAAACAGGTTCTTCCAGAACTCTCCTCCTGATCCTCCGTCTCCGCCGCCGCCACCACCACCTCCGCCGCCCAACCAACTGCCTCCTCCGAACCAGTCTCCACCGCCGCTGTCGATGATGGGAGTGAAGCGGAGGAAGACAGTGGCCACAGCGGCGGTGCCGGAGAAGGTGAGGGCTTTAAGGAGGGAATTTTGGCGTTTTTGTTGTTTGGAGTTGGAGTGGGGTTGAGGGTTTTGTGGTGAAGGAAAAGAGGGAGGGGAAATGAGATCACATTTGATGGAGGAAGCGCGTGGATTGACAGTGGCGCGTTGCTTTCTGCGGGAGGAGAAGATGGTTGTGTTGAGAGGAGCGTTGGTAACGAGGTTGGTGGATGCAGTGAAGGACATGGCTTTTGGGAGGGCGTTATGGAGAGGGAGAACAAGGAATGGCTGCTCTCAACTAGATAATGGCTCAAGTAAAGTCTTTCCTTGCAATTACCATTATAGGGTTAGGCTGGAAGAAACAGAAAAAAGAATCTCGAATTTAGCCCCTGATGCATTACCCCATTATCAATTGAGTATCTAAACCTTTGGTTTCATCAAATTTACCCCAAATATAATTGATATTACACTTCCATCCATATGCTATTAACGCCCCTTGCGCTTGAATTTTTTTTTGAAGTGGTGAAAACAAAAGTAATTGTCACAACATGTAATTAAAATATAATTGATGATTGTTACTGTAAACGCTACAAGGTACGATCGTAATCTCATTGAGAGCTGAAGTGACGGTTGTGATTTCTCGTTGGTGTGGAATTGCAGAATTTTAGCATCTTGGTCCTGCTAAATTCAGCGACTTGGTAGCAGGACTTGGCTTTCATAAACTTTGCGTTATCATTAAATCTTGAAAGTGTGGGAGAAATATAAGATTCTCAATCATTTTGCTCTTCTCTCTAAGAGTCGATTTTTAAAACTGGCTTTCCATGAACTTTACTTTGCCATTAAATCTTGATGTATGGTGGACCTTATTTTGATTATGGTTCTGTTAATTTATGCTTGTAAATTTTGCAACTCTCATTGGAAAAAAAGTGACAATTACTCTACTTTTCTTTTTGTCTTGGAGGTGATTGCAAACAAGATCAATCGTTGCAAAACATTCATTTTCATGGTTAATTCTTGATCCATCTAGAAAATCATGACAGTTTTCTCCCTCGTTTCCATATCTTTTGATCCAAGAATATTTTCTAGTGTATAGTATCTTAAGGTCTCTCTCGTCTTGTGTTTTTCTTCTCGCAATTCATGCAGCCTTGAATTTGATAATCCTGAAAGGCCTGAATGCAGCAATCTTCTCTCTGTATATCAGCTCGTTTCAGGCAAGACAAAAGAAGTATTGTATGTAATTCACATGTTTGCTTTGACAGGTTGCCTTGCTTTATGCCTATTTGTAATTCTTTGACGGTGTATTTTATGTTCAGATCTTTCTTTCTTTAATCTTGGGATAGAAGACTGTTGGCAACTGTCTTTTGAGGAAATGATTGGTCTTATAATTATGGTCATTTGTGAGGGCTTATGATGTTCCACTCTGACCATGTCTGTTGAACACTTATTGTAGGATGCAGCAAAGGAATGCCAGGGTTTGAATTCGGGCTTGTTCAAACCTCTCCTAACAGATGCCTTGAGTGAACATCTACATCCCATTCAGGTTTCTACCTGTATATATGCCTTTCTCTCCTTCAGTAGGGTCAGGAACAGTTAAAAAAGATGTTATGCATAGTTACATAGATCATATTAGAAACCAGAGATTATTGTTGCGTAATTGTAAACGTTTGCCAGTACCAGTGCAACTTGTTAGTAGCATGTGGCCACTAATTGGAGTTTCATGGAAATCTGTTGCTTTCCCTTTTTCACTTGGATTTTGGTCTGAACTGCGATAGTTTGCCTACACATACCAATAAAGTCATAGCCATGAAGTGCTTAGAGAACAGAGAGTATGAAGAAGTCATTTCTCTGCCTTTCTGTATTTTATTCTGAGGTGTCTTGTATTTATTTAATCACGGATAGATGATCTGAAGTTATGTTGCAAATCCTGGCAGTTCGTGAAGCCAAGAAGAAAAAATGATTATGACTTCCCTGTCCTTGCCCCCTCCTCGAGAGTACTACTGCTATTCATATGGACTGTTTATTAGTAAAACAGTCTCTTCATATGCAGGTTTTTTCAGGATAGTGTTGGAGGAAGGTGCCGGTTAAGCTGCAGAGATTGCAGATGCCACTCTAAATAATGTTTACCAGGCAATGGGAATCCTGCGGAGATAAGCAAGGTTTCAGATTTCTGAACGCATAAATCTGAAAATCAACTTCCTTTTCCCAGCATTACATGGGGCATAAGCCTAAAACATTCATTTTATTTAACTTCCACGCGTTTAAATTAATATTTTTCCGGGAACTGTCTCTGCAGAACGGTGGTCAGTTGAAATTTGTACAGAGAAAATATATAGTTTTAATATTTGGATTATTTGTCAGAACATGAACTTATTTAAACTACCAATTCCTTGATAATCAAGTGATGGAAATTCACTTAAATATCTTGCAGGTGCCTGAGAAGAATGTTGGTGTAGATTTTTTGTATTCTATTGATCGAAGACCCATTCATTGGTTGTCTTTCTTCTCAAATTCAAGCGGATGCCATTGTCCTTGGATCTTTAACCAATTCAATGAACAGAGAATCGATTGCAACAATGGGCATTTGATAAGACGCGAACTAAATAGAAAGATGAAATGGATGGTGAGTATAGTTATGGTTCTTGATAAAAAAAATTCCCTTGCTTTCAAAGCGATACGCCAACTTAAGATCAAAATGCACGAGTGTCCATTAAACTATAGGCTTTTATTGGCGTAAATGTACCTTGTTAGCATATCTCGAAGCAGTTAACACATTTCTGCAAGTTTTCTTATGTTTTGGTGATAAATTTCTCCGAGCTGAATGAACTTGGAGAGGATGGCAACATGCTTGGGATAATTTTTAATGAACATGGCGAGGATGGCTGCATGCTTGGGATAATTTTTTTTCCTTGGAAAACCAAACATCCTCGAGAAGAAAAGTAGGGAGGGGTGAGGTTTGATAGAGAGAGAAGTCGGTTGTTTGGATGGACAGAAAGACATCCGAGGAAGGGAGGAAGGTATACCTCTCGTCTTTTCATGACCTAAATTTACACCATCTGATTTGGAGAGACGGAAACACAATCATCTGCCATAGACATCGATATCCATTTTTTTACAGTTTTCTTATCATTTAACTCGGGCTCGGAAATTGAAAAGAAAGTTGAGAGAGAGAAAAAAAGACGAGGGATTGGAGAATCGAGAGAAAAAAAGTAGAGGGACTAAAAGCAAAGGTTTGTTTGTGTCAAGATATCATGATAAAAAAAAAAAAAATCTTATCACGAAACGCAAGAAAGAAGGGCATTCTTCGAAAAAACCAGTACTGGTACTAGTAAAAATGATATCGTTGTTTTCTGCAACGAATCCCTTGCTGACATGGTCACCATCATCAAGCCCAACAAGAATCAGTTACTCTCAGACACATCGGCGGTGTTGTACCTCTAGAACTACAAATGCGTTGTCGTTTCCTATTCCTTTCTCGTTAACTTGTTCCCGTCTTACACAAAAACCAAATGCTCATACCACTACTACTCTTCAGGTCCAGGGTTCTTCTTCTGATTTTAATAAAGAAGAGCAGGAAGAAGAGTATAAGGTATTGACAGCAGTGAAAAGTCAGTACAATGACATTCTAATCGTTGACACTCCTAAAACTAGGATGCTGCTCCTCGACTCCACTCGTAATTTCCTCCTCATTCATCTTTGGGAGGGGGTGCTTTTCTTGTTCTTTAACGTATGATGATGATCATTGATTATACAGATAATGTTCATAGCCTTCTTTACAAGGATGGTCAGAAATGGACTCGTTCGTATTGGGTATGTACGCTATGTTAAGTTTCCTTCCTTTCTAGTTTTTGTTATTTAATAAAAGCAGCAATTCATGTCTTTGTCTGTCCATTTTGATTTTGAACAGTGAAAATTAAAATATACATCAGTTTTAATTTTTACCTGATTGATCAGCTCCATTCGTTATGCAGGATGAATTTGCTAGTTTGCCAGCTATTATTCCACAAGGCCCCGTTGCAATATTTGGCCTGGTAGTTAATTTCATCTCCCTTTAGCGTGTTTATGTTCTTGAACGTATGATTATATTTATCAAGTCAATGAGTTCGCATGTACAGTGAACTTTTCTAATTGTCCAGGGTGGCGGTACAGCTGCGCATTTGATGCTTGATGTGTGGCCTTCATTGCAGCTTGAAGGTTGGGAAATAGATGAAATTGTAAGGACAATGATAGAGTCGTTTAAATTTGATTGCCCTTTTTTCTTTTCCATCCCAATTTGCCTTTTTACCTTTTCAAACATAGCCCCTTCAAACATTTTTCTTTTACTTCTGTTGGACTAATGTTCACTTTGTTCTCATGGAGATTTTTACTGTGCCAAATATAGTTAGAGAATACAGGAAGTTGCTTATGATTCAGCATTGAGATTTAGGGCCAAGTCAATGTCAGTGGATTCCCTAGTTGCTTGTATTGACACAGTCGCCTATGTTCTCAATGAGAAACGTTAGTTATCTTCTTAGTTCTTGCATGTTATTCAGGAAAAAAAAAATCGAAGTAAATTCATGGACTAATCTGAAGTGCTGCAAATAATGACTCGCACCAAAAACCTTCTAACAATAGACTCGGTTATTGTAAAATTATGGACTAAGGAAATTTTCTGTTTTTAAATTTTTGGTGGATTTCTACTGTCAATAGAAAATATTTTCAGCCAACCCTTTCTAACTGCCTTGGCTTAATTTCCTGCAGATTATTTTCTGAGCAAAAAGTGAGGCTAATTGGGAATTTGTTTATTGTTTGTGCAATGATGCTTGCAGTAGCAAAACTCTTTGGTCCTTTTCCATTTAATATTGATTGCCTCCTTACTGAAATGGATCTTTTTGCATTAGTTGATCAATAAAGCAAGAGATTATTTTGGCCTATCGGATCTTGAGAAGCAAACTCAAGCTGGTGGCGTGCTTCATGTTGTTGTTGGTGATGCCCTATGTTCCTTGGAAGATGATGGTAGAAAATATGCTGGTGAGGAGGATAATGACCTGTCTATTTTGGTTTAGAGCATGCATGCAGGATTTGCTCATTTTCTGATTTTACTGTATGGATGTTTGGTCATTAGTATGATTAAGTATTCTTTCTTGCAAGCAAGCCCCCTTGGGGTAATCATGGGTAGGTTTTGAGAAGTGGAGGCAGGTATTGAGGTATGGTTGCTGTAGCAAGCTTGAAGAGAACACCCTGTTATGATATATTTAGGAGGGAAACACAAGTCCTGCTTGACTGTTCATGCCCAAATAACATTCCTCTCAGCTAAAGCTTGATATGTAGCATTTCTTTTTATTACATCCACTTGTATATTAGTTAGTCTTTGCCATTAATTCACTTTTGTTCTGTAAATTTGTATTGTTTGCTTTGTTCAAGCTTTTGGTTTCTTCCTCTTTTCACTAATATATGGCATCAATGTTTTTTCAGGCATTGTCATTGACCTGTTCTGTGGGGGGAAGGTTTTGCCACAGTTACAAGAGGTATGTTCGAAATGTTTTTGTTTCTTATACTATCAGTGGCTAGTTTTGTGGCTTGGTACCTGATTCTTTAATTTTAGTTGCCTGTCAAATTATCACTCTTAATGAAGTCGTTGTCTCATATAAGCACTACAATTTATGATAATTTAATGTGAGGCACTCGAGTCTATACAGCCTTAAATTTTGTTAGTTGTGAGAAGCTAGAAAAACACTTGTAAGCAGGATTTTTTTTATACATATAAAAGAAGGAAGCTAGAATAAACCCCCCCCCCCCCCCCCCCCCCCCCCCCCCCCCCCCCCCCCCCCCCCCCCCCCCCCCCCCCCCCCCCCCCCCCCCCCCCCCCCCCCCCCCCCCCCCCCCCCCCCCCCCCCCCCCCCCCCCCCCCCCCCCCCCCCCCCCCCCCCCCCCCCCCCCCCCCCCCCCCCCCCCCCCCCCCCCCCCCCCCCCCCCCCCCCCCCCCCCCCCCCCCCCCCCCCCCCCCCCCCCCCCCCCCCCCCCCCCCCCCCCCCCCCCCCCCCCCCCCCCCCCCCCCCCCCCCCCCCCCCCCCCCCCCCCCCCCCCCCCAACTCTCCCCCATATATTTGAAGAACATATGCATGTTTATGGTATGAGTTTATGACACTGCAAGAGACAAGAGGAAGCCCATAGACTGTGAGTTTTTAATAGGATTTTTACGGCAGACATCAACTAGTTAATGACTTAAGTTTTTCAGTATCAATCACAGGCTTGACCAAATGTTAATTGCTAGCACTTGCTTCCTCCTTTCCAGGGCATAAAATTTGTTGCTTGCCTTAAGCAAGAATCAAAAGATCATTGAATTTTTCTCCAATTGCATGTTTAACTTCTTAGGGACAAGTACTGCAGGAGTCCTTTGCAATCCCTCCAGAACAGGTATCATGCCGAAGAATATTAAAAAATGACTTTGGTTGAGAACCATTTAGGGGACTGCTAGAAAAATTAAAGGGCAGTGGCCAAAACTTTTTGCACTGGTGGATGGTAGATGTATGTTTGACTGAAAGTTGGAAGCGTTGGCCATGAGGTAGCAGGGAGCGCCAATGTTCTGTTGGTCCATTGCATTTTGTTTGTGTATCTGTTATCCTTCTAGAAATATGAAGGTTAAATTGTTACAAGTTTCCATATCTGAAAAGGATGCTAACCTCAGCTTGAAGTGTTTCTGCCATAATGTGAAAGAACTTCCAAAAGCATAATTCCAGGACTTCATGGTCTGATGGTTACAAATATTAGCTTTTTTCACTAGCAAAGATCTCTAGTCTATTATGCACTTACATGTTATCACTGAGTGCAAGTTAGAGGGTGTAACCCTCGTTAAGTTCGGGTATGCTACCATGGATTCTATAATTCAAATGTGAGTTTTCTTCAGAAACATAAATCTGTATATCCCTTGATCTTGCCACTACTTTTTTCTCCTTTGTTAGTGCCATGTATAACAGTTTTACATATCTAAACTCGGTAATTGTGCTTGACAGGTAGCAACTTGGCTGGAAATGAAGGGTAGATTGATACCTGATGGTCGCCTTATGGTGAACTGTGGAGGCATTGAAGAATCAGATGCTATAAATGAAAGAAATACTAAATCAGTTGATAATGCTTGGGTTGAAAATCCAACCATCAAGGTTTTGTGTGAAGCATTTCCTGGACAAGTATGGCATTTACTTTACTGACATTTGATACAATTGCATTTTTTCTGATTCATCAAATTTTAACCGAAGACAACCAGGAATTCTTCATTTTGTTTCGCATTTTGTTTTGGTAGTGGTTATGGGAGCGAGGGTTGCTTTCCTACATCGAAATGAAGGGAGTATAAATTGTTGGGACTTCAAAAACAAAACCAGTAGTTTGTGTACTTACATATATCTCAAGGTTGTGTATATAATTTATCCTTCAGTAAAATTAAAACCCCCTACACATGCCTGATTTTTTAAAATGGTTGAAAACCGGTCAGCATATTGAAACCTGCTTGAACTATTTTTTGGTTTTCCAGATTCAAGCTACTACTAGTGGAGAGCTGTATTTTTCTATGCTTTGAACATTAAAAAAAAATTACTCATCTGTCCTTCAAAGTCCAAACATTGCAAAAACTAGGCTGTTTGAACCATGTGTGATGTCATTGTTTTGCCTTTGAAACAGTTAAAAAGCAATATTTAATTCAGACTTGAAAATTGGAATACACTGCTTTCAAGTTGAATTTCCCGTATAAATTGCTGTAGGATACGTCATTAAGATTCCTTGTTCAGTAATTAAACAAAATGTGGAATCAATTTTTAGATGTGCTTAAATGCTTGCCTAACTGCCCCAAAGTTTCTATGTGAACTGGCATTTGCTTAGTGTTCTTAAAGACAACAATAAGTTTACAGTTAGATTGAAATTTGACTGCTCAGCTAAGCTGGAAGAGAGTTCCAGAGAGTGAAGGTGCAAATTATCTTGCATTGACGGGACCCTTGCCTGATTTGACCTCATGGTCTGCTACGGTCCCAGACCATTTGAGTGCAACTGTTAGCAAATGGAGGCCTTGCAGCCCTCTTCCGTGATGGAGATTTTTTTTCTTAGCAGGGTTATATTGCAGCCAAACCAGTTTGTTGAGAAACTATACAGTCAGATTTGAATACCTCTCAATCAGCCATTCAAATGATAGATCTTAAGCTAACCACGAGTGTACCATGATATTTTTAATACAATTTTTTGCATTTTTTCCTTCCTTTCATGTTGTACTTCTCTTCAATCAACTATTCTCTTACAGTCAGGAGATGTAGTCTCATCGTGTTTCATATTGTGGAGCATCTCTGGATGGTTTCTTGAGGAGATATTATGCCCATCATCTTTTATATCAAACACTAGTTGCCAATAGATTTCTGAAATGATTGTTCTTTGTTGCCATTGTATATCGCAGTTTCAGTGATGGTACTAAGCTCTTTCCCTTTTCAACTTTATGTTTTCCTTGAATAAGAAGTCCTTATCCACAAGGGAGAAAACTTCTTATCAGTCCATGGATCTTTAATAGAAGGGCATATCTTATTTTATGATTTCTTTTTGCAGAACAATTCTTCCAGCGTATCAGTTTGATTTGCCTGCAAATATTCTTCTTTGTATTTGTATCTCCCTGCCATAATCTACTTAGGGTTTGTCATTAGTTTGTTTCTCTTACTGTTGACTGCAATAGCATGTGTAACTGAAATATTCTAGTATGTATGTATTCATAATTCTCAAAAGAACATTACTGCTGTATTTCCCACCGTTTATACACTATCAAAACATTGCCGAACTTGTGCATCCGTGGAATGAGTGAGAGTAGGGACGGTGTCCATTTACTCCTTCCATTGTCCATGCATCCTGGTCTCCATGCTTCTCTCAGAGTAAAACCTTAAGCTTAACCCGTGCTCTGTTTGCTGACTGGTTTTGAAGGAAGGAGGGATAACCAGTCTGGAACAGGGCACCTTTATGAATTTTCCAGAGCCTGTTCAGTCTGCACAAGGTTAAAACCAGCATCCTGGGATCTCTCCCTCACTGGAAAGTGGCAACACATTGCATTTCCAGGAGGCTGTTTCAACTTAGTCTAGCGGAGACCTGAATTATAGAGAACGCAACAAATCCGGGATGCTTCTACGACGTTAGTGTGCTTCAGCAGCAGTCTAGGCAAACTAGAGTGATTTTCATTGCAGTTAAAACACCATCTTAACCAGAAGGCTTATAAAGTATGGTACAACTGTAAATTACAACAGGCTTTCCTGTTTAAAAGACCAGGATCAAGCTCTATTTTATCTGCCATTCCTCTCAAAGCTAACTCCTACCAAATACTCAACTTACTGTACAAAGCAGATCCTAAGACACTACTGGAGCATCATGGGAACAAGTATCACTCAAGAAAAAAAAAAAAAGATCCTCTAATAAAGGGCAGGACCGGAGTTTAGGCATGCACACCATTGCAATTGCTGTATCTACCGTCTGCCGGTATCTTTGCAAACTTGGTTGCATTTCCATTCTGGTAGAGGCTTATTTTTTTGGCCATTCCTTTGGGAATCTTGTGAGCGTGTAGGAGAGGATCTAGCTGGCCACATGCTGCTGCTATCAGGCCTTCAATTCGAAAGGTTGATTATCAAAAGTCAATGTCAAGACATTAAAAAAAAAAAAAAAGAGTAGTTTTTGGTTCAAGACGAGAAAAAAATATTAGACTCGCAATATGGAGAAGAGTGAGAGATGAACCTAAGAATAGTGCAGAAGGTTTCCCAGGTCTTGACTTGAATTCAGGGTGGAATTGAGTACCAATATAGTAAGGATGATTAGGCAGCTCAACTATCTGTCAACGAGCCAAATTTAACTTGGAGTAACTGTAGGGAACTATTGATCCTAAAGCAATTTGAAAAAAATGGAGAACAGAAGTTTGCAGGTACAGAACCGCGTACCTCCATGCGTTGGCCAGTTTCATCCTTGCCGGTGAATGAGAGCCCGGCATCTTCCAGGGATGATACCATATCAGGATTCACCTGCACCAATAAGACTTTTTTATCATTTCTCGAGCAACTATCTACTTACATGGAAAAGATACGCATCTTGAGTTCTTGACGCCCCATACCTCGTATCTGTGACGATGTCTCTCATCAACAAAACCTCTATTACCATACCTGACAGAATCCAGAATTCAGGGTTTAGCCAATCTCGGATATTCACAAGTAAACAGTATTGATCTACTTGTTGCATACATATTTCAGATTGGTAATATGAAAAACAGACTTTTACATCATCAAAACTTATCATTTACATGAATATGGCACTGCCATATCAATATCTGTTGTCAAGCCACTCAATTACTTACAATTTTGCCGATTTGGAGTCCATGACTTGGAAATATGTCCTCCTTGACCCAAGACGCATGGTGCCTCCCAAGTGGGTTTTTGAGCCCTGTTGATGAGGAAAAATGTCAGACTAAACTAGAAAACGCCGACGACCAGTTGGCTATGTAGTTCAAAATTGAGGGGACACTATAAAAACCTCGGGCATGAATACAACGCAGGGACTCTTGGTGTCAGGATCAAATTCCGTGCTGTTAGCATCTTGCAGACCAAGGATAGATCGTGCAAACTCAATGACGGCAATTTGCATTCCCAGACAGATTCCAAGGAATGGAATTCTGTTCTCTCGCGCATACTTGGCTGCAAGAATTTTCCCTTCTACACCTCTGTCACCAAACCCTCCTGGGACAAGAACACCATCTGCACCCTGCAGACATAGGCTAGTCAGACGGCTACGAAAGAAAGTAAGCAGAACTTTGAGGGCTAGTATTAAAAATGAAAACTAGCTTCACGCATCTGACCATTAGCAATACAAACCTTTAACAACTTCCATGCAGCCTTATATGCATCAGGATTCTGCACGAGGAGCATTCAAGCCAAGAAGTGAAGCAAGGAATAAAGATTAGTCTATACGATATCAGTACTCCGATTACTAACCTCTCTTGCAGTTTCATCCTCAATATCGCTAGCTGGAACCCAGTCCACAACAAGTTTCTTGCGGAGAGAAACAGATGCATGCAAAAGAGCCTGCCAGCGGTAAAATAACTTTTATCACCGGGAAAACACCATAATATTATCTTTATTATGGAAATAAATGCATATTACATTCGCATAACATTTCAAGGGGCACGAATCAACAATTACAAGTTTTGACGATTGTGAAATTATGAATGATGAAAAGCTTCATGACAGATAGTTGCAGAATATGTCTCACATTTCTAGGACTCCTTTTGACGCATTTCAATTGAAGTTTGCGTGCATGAAGAAAGAAATATTGTAAAATTAATTCACCAAATAACAGCACAAGGAGGACAGCAGAAATCCAAAGACATGCAATGCGTCTATAACAAAATCAGTGTTTTACGAAAGGTAGTTAAGTGGTTAGATACAGGCTGTTTGGTTCAAAGTCTGACATCTATTGTTCAAAGTACGGCAGAGCAGCAGCAACCTCAGGGATAAACATTAAAGACTTCATCGCATGACCACGAGAAACTTCCCACAGAAACGGTAATTCTGAGCTTTAAAAAGGAAATGATAGATATAAGCGAACCTTCAGCAAGGAAAGGTAGGAATCTGAAAGCCCTGTATACTTCCCAACAACGGCAATTCGAACCTGCAATTCACAACTCAGTACATAAAGCTCAGGTAGAAATTGCTAAATATGTGAATTGAAATTTGCTAAGACCCACTGGTTCAAGTAACATGTCGCAGAATTCAGCCCTAGAGGTCCATTCCTTTAAATTGGGCTCCCTGGCAACTCTGTAAATTACAAGACAATAATTTAAGGATGTCAGCAAATGGAAGATATCACGCAATGCATTATAGAGCGGGGAAACAATGATAAGTGGGATCACTTGACAAACCCATGAAGGTTCAGCGCTCCCAAAATTCCTTCATGAGCCTTCTGATCCTAATTGAGAAGAAACAAACCATAGTTTAAGAATTAGAAGCTAAGCAATGGAATGAATGTCAAAAGGACTACAAGTGTACTCACTCTTAAAAGCGAAGGAAGGTGCCAGATGTTGGGAACATCATAGAGAGTGATGATATTTTCTGCCTGGAAAACTCGGGGTCTCAATAAACTTGCAAAGTAGACAAGAAAATATTCTAGTAACATGCATGGAAAGGTTTATCCTTGTAATCAACTTACTGGGACATGGCAAAATTGAGAGATTTTCTGCTTTACGTTCTCTTCAAGTGCCTGTAAAAGAGATTCAAGTCCATAATCTGAAGTTCGCAGAACTCACAATCACTACAAGCTCGCATGTGTTCGTGTGTGAAAGACCGAGAGAATTACCGATGTGCTGCGACAAGCTAAGATATTTGGTGTCAAACCTAAGCTTCTCAGCCCCCGAACACTGTGCTGAGTTGGTTTTGTTTTCTGAAAAGAGTAAATACACTGTCTTTTATAATTTGTTATATGGACTAAAATGATCCACAGACAATCATCTTTTATCCACTCAATATATGCAGAGACAATATTCTAAGCAGCTTACCTGTTCACCAACAGCACTTATAACAGGCACAAGGCTGACATGAATCAAGCAGAAGTTGCCAGCGCCTGTGAAACGAGCATTAATTAGAACAAGTCGACTGGTTAGAAGATGCAAAGGCAAGAAGAGTCTCAAACTGCATCATGTAAAGTTTCGTAGGTAGTGGTCTTACCCACTCGGTATGAAAACTGCCCTAGAGCCTCAGTAAATGGCATGGACTCAATATCTCCTGCACACAGGAAAGTTTCTAGTGACACAGAAAAAAATGGAGAACAGCTCATGATCCATTCATCAAGAAAGATATTGTTAATTTACCTATAGTTCCACCCAATTCAATGACACAAACATCAGCGGGACCAGGCTGTCCGTCAACTGGTATCAATGCCACGCGTTCAATCCACTCTTGAATGGCATCTGTGATGTGAGGGACAACCTGCAGTTTGCAAAAATACATAAAGAAGATGAACTATACATGGAAAGTTTATGGTAAGCTGCAGGACAATGTAACAGACAAACTCAGCTAGAGAAAAACCTGCACAGTTTTTCCCAGATAATCTCCCCTTCTTTCTTTGTCAATAACAGCCTGCAATTCAACAGGAAAAAGGGATAACTAGCTTCAGTAACAAGGTGTCAGCTACTTCTAATGATCTTAGTTTTTTCCAGCTAAAAAATGTGTAATACACATAGAAACATTAAGTTTAAACAACTTGCCTGGTAAATCTTTCCCGTAGTGATATTATTATCGCGTGTCAGCTTGATATCTAGAAACCTCTCGTAATTTCCAAGGTCCAGGTCCACCTTTACAGCAAGATAAGCAAGTCATTTCTTTCGGTCTAGATCAATTTCCTATCTTTCATAAAAGTAAACAGTCTGATTTCGTCTTTTTCTGTTTTCACTCATAAAGAGTAAGAAATGTATTAGTCCACAGGTTTAATGGGTATGATCTAGCATGATCGTATATGGTAACCAGAAACAGAGAGAAGGGCATGAGAATCATCCAAGAGTAATTTTAAACAGATT